TTGGGGCACTGCTCCAGTTCTCCCTGATCCTCTCTCTCCACTGATCAGATCCAGGACTCCAGCTGATCTGCTATAACAGGTGATGGTGTGAACCAGACATCAGGCAATGAAAATCAGCTGAATTCAGCAGGCCTTTCTCAGGAGAGTCCTGCAAGCAGCAGCTGCTCTTGTGTGCTCCTGCGCTCTTATCTCAGGGTAGTGGGGGCTTGCAGTCACCCTCAGAGGGGTGTTGGGTGCATGAACCTGAGTCTCCCTTCAGAAGGACTTTCTGTCTCCCACAAGCGCATGCCTGCTCATGCAGAGAGTCTTTATGGACACTTGCTTTTGCGGAACCTCTCACAGTCCAACCTGTCAGGTCACCATCTTAAACTCCACCCTAATTATTGGATCTTCCTGAAACCTTTACATGAAGCCAGCAAGTGTTATGAGCTATTCCTTTTCGCAATTGAAAATTTTAGTATAACAAATTATTAGCTTAAAATAATTCAGTGATAATTTCAGGAAAATAAATTAGAAAATAAGATATCCATTTCTTATTGCATATTCTGTGACTTCATGTAGCATCTTGCTTTTCCAGTGTCCTAAAGACTCTGTCCAATCATTTCGCTTGATGCATGAATTTCCAAAATCAAAAAACCTGACAGAATCACTTCAGCCCATCCATCTTTGGGGATTGATTTGAATATTCACATAGCTGATTAAACTGCATGAATATGGTAATTAATGTGATTTAAAACAAGCAACCCGTTATATGTCATTTTATCACATTATAAAAATGAATATTGTGAATCCAAATCACCAAAATATGAGCCCAAATATGGTACACAGAAGACAAAAATATCATAGAATACATCAATAAAACAAAAAACTGGTTCTTTGAAAAAATTAACAAGATTGATGAACTCCTAGCCAGAATGACCAAGAAAAAGAGAGAAAAAGCCCAAGTACAAACAATCAAAAATACAAAAGATCAAATCACAACTGACTCCCCCCCAAAAAAATACCAAAGATTACCAGAGATTGCTATGTACACCTATATGGAAACAAACTTGAAAGCCTAAATGAAATGGAGGACTTTCTGACATCACACAACCTACCTAGGTTGAAACAAGAAGACATTGAGACACTAAATAAACCAATAACAAACCAGAAAATTGACTCTGTCATATGAAAACTAACTGCAAAAAAAAGCCCTGGACCAGATGACTTTCCAGCAGAATTCTACAAAAAGTACGAGGAGGAGCTGATACCAATCCTACTGAAAGTATTCCAGGCAACTGAGAAAGATGGAATTCTCCCCAAATCATTTTACAAAGCTAACATCACACTGATACCCAAACCAGGTAAATATTCAACAAAAAAAGAGAACTACAGGCCTATATCCCTTATGAACATAGATGCAAAAATCCTCAACAAGATTCCAGCAAATTGGATCCAAAAACCCATCTCAAAAATCATCCACCATGACCAAGTAGGCTTCATCCCCCAAATGCAAGGCTGGTTCAACATTCTCAAGACCAAGAATGTAGTTAAATGCATCAACAGATGTAAAAACAAGAACCACATTATTATCTCATTAGATGCAGAAAAGGCTTTTGATAAAATCCAGCATCCCTTCTTGATTAAAAACCCTCAAACACCTAGGTATAGAAGGAACATACCTCAAAATAGTATGTGCTATCTATGATAAACCCACAGCTAGCATATTGCTAAATGGACAGAAACTAGAAACATTTCCCCTGAAAACTGGAACAAGACAAGGCTGCCAACTCTCATCCCTCTTGTTCAACATTGTATTGGAAGTCCTAGCTTGGGCAATTAGACAAGAGAAGGAAATCAGGGGTATCCAAATAGGAAAAGAGGAAATCAAGTTATCCCTCTTTATTGATTATATAATCCTATACCTTAAAAATCCAAGAGAATCTGTCAAAAACCTGCTGGCACTTATAAGGGACTTTGGCAAAGTCTCAGGGTACAAAATAAATACGCAAAAGATAGTTGCATTCCTATATGCCAACAACAGACAGACAGAGACCCAAATTACAAGTACAATCCCATTCATAATAACCACAAAAAATGAAATACCTTGGCATCTTTCTAACCAGAAAAGTGAAAGACCTTTATAATGATAACTACAAAACACTGCTCAAAGAAATCCAAGAAGATATAAGCAAATGGAATAATATTCCATGCTCATGTATAGGAAAAATCAATATTCTTAAAATGTCCATCCTTCCAAAGGCAATCTATAGATTCAATACAATACCCATTAAATTACCAACATCATTATTCTCAGACCTGGAAATGACAATACAGAAATTCTTGTGGTGAGATGAGTTTCATGGATGTAGCAAATAAGAATCTTAGAAAATGCAGGAAACACCCTTATGGAAATTGAAACTGGCAATCAATTCCTGATCAAAATCCTAAGTGCCCATACCACCAGAAATAAGATAGACCAGTGGGACCTCATCAAACTGACAAGCTTCTGAAAAGCCAAAGAAACCATCAAGAGAAAGGGGAGACAGCCCATAGAATGGGAAAAAAATATTTGCCAACTATATATCCGGCAAAGTCCTAATAACATCTAGGATCTATAACGAACTCAAATGCGCCAAAAGGAAAAAAAAACCAAAGCATCCCCATTAAAAAGTGGAAAAATACATGAATAGACACTTTTCAAAAGAACATACATGAGCAGCCAACAGACACATCATCCTTACTCATCATCAGAAAAGTGTAAATCAAAACCACATTGAGTCACCTAATTCCAGTAAGAATGGCCTTCATTAATAAAACAAACAATAACAGATGCTGGCAAAGATGTGGAGAAAAAGGAATGCTTCTACACTGCTGGTGGGAATGCAAACTAGTGCAACATCTTTGGAAGACAGTGTGGTGATTTCTGAAAGAACTAGAAATTGGCCTTCCATATTACCCAGTAATCCCCCTATTTGTAACGTACCCAGAGGAGCTCAAGTCATTCTACCAAAAAGATACCTGCACACACATGTTTGTTGCATTTCTGTACACAATAGCAAAAACATGGAACCAACCATGCTGTCCATTGAAGCTAGACTGGATTAAAAAATGTGGCATGTATACACAATTGAATATCATTCAGCCATAAAGAAGGACAAACATATGGACTTCGCAGCAACTTGGATGAATTTAGAGTCTATCATACTCAAGGATTTATCCCAGGAACAAAGAACAGAGTACCATATGTTCTCACTCATAAGTGGATCTTGAACAATTATAATACTATAAGAAAGGTATTGGCAGTAGTGGGATACTGTCAGGGGAGGGGAGTGGGATTGACAGTTGAGGAAAACTGCTAGGGGAGGGAGGGGCACATCTCATCAACAAGGGTACTTGCATAGTCAACGTTTGTATACCTAACCCTGAATTGTACCCCACCTCTTTATAGTAAAAAATGAATATTGTGTCTTTAGTTCATATTGATGAGTATTACAAATAGTGAAACAGAAGAATAGGTTCAGTTTTTTCTTCCCACTGACACAGATCTGCTGTTGCTTAATTAGCCCTTTGCAAAATGTATGGATTGTCAAAGTCTATTCTGTAGATGTCAAATAAGATGATTCTATTTGGTGTAGCTCTTAGGAAATATATAACACCAAATTCTAGATATTTCTATTCTGTTTTGATAGCTCATAGGTAAGTAAAATCTGAATACTGTCTGCACAAATCTATCTTAAGGTTCATAAGTTTTTGTTTCTGGAATTCAGGAAAGAATGCCTAACCTGATGAACTTTACTTATTTCCTAGATTTATTTGCTTAGACAGCATAATAGATTATTTGAAGATCCATGCAACCACTGTGATTGTGCCGAATTATGTAATTATATCTAATTGCACTTATTTTGTTTATACATATTATACAATTTTTACTTTCTAACACCCCCCCAAACTATAAAATTTTCTGAACATATTATATTGCACATCTGCAGTCAACATTTCTTGAAGCTCAAGAGTCTTATGATTTTATATACTCTTGTTCTCATTTCAGGTACAAATTTAGTAGTCTCATTTGTTTTTCATTTTTAAATGATGTTATTTCCTTCAACTAATATTTCCTAAAGGACCAATCGGCACATAGAATAGGTAATAAATTGGGTACTATCCTTATCCTCATGGAATTCATACTCTAATAGATGACTTCACTAATATATATGAAACTGAAAAATGTATGTGAGAATGCCCTGATGTTTATGTGTTGAAGATACCATATATTGTTTTTAAACACTGTGCCATTCAGCCCTCTGGGTCTAACACACCTTCTATCTGATCTCACTTTAAATCCATGATAATTAACCTCAGTGATGTTAACTATGATTATTCTATGAACAATTTTTTTTTTTTTTTGAGTTGGAGTCTGACTCTGTCGCCCAGACTGGAGTGCAGTGGCCGCTCCCGGCCACTGCAGCCTCAACCTGCTGGGCTCCGGCGATCCTTCCACCTCAGCCTTCCAAGTAGCCGGAACTACAGACATGTGCTACCATGCCTGGTTGATTTTTTGATTTATTGTAGGGATGAGGTCTCGCTGCCCAGGCGGGTCTCGAACCCACGGGCTCAGGCAATTCACTCACCTCAGCCTCCCAAAGGCACGGGATTACAGGCTGAGCCACCGAGTCCGGCTTATGAACAAATTTATACCACAAAACAAATACCATCATTATAGTATTTACATAAAAACTGATAAAGGCTACCATTTTATATCAACAGTAATAACAGCTCCAACAAATTCCTGAGAAATCTGTCTGCATTCACCAGCAGATCTAAAAATTTTGACATAAACATTGTGGCTTTTATTTTACTTCTAGATTTAAACTTGATTAGATACATTGGTAATTTACTTCCTAGTATTAGTTAGATTTATGTTAAGGGTAAGTCTATTTTTAACATTTTCATATGCTTAGGTGTAACATTGGTTTTAAGATGCTAACATGTTTCCTCTCAATATTTTCTTTGTTCTTTAGTTAATTACTGACTTCACAATGTCTGAAATCAGATTCAGCAGTCTCACTTGGGATCAAGTTATAACACTGGATCGAGTGTTAGATGAAGTAATTCCAATTCATGGAAGGGGCCATTTCCCAACACTGGAGGTAAAACCAAAATATATCATTCATGTTGTGAAAGATCAACTTACAAACCAAGGAATTATTGTTAAAGACACCCGACTTAATGGTTCCACAGCAAGTTATGTACTTGCAAGCCATAATGGAATTAGTTATAAGGACTTGGACATTATTTTTGGTGTTGAACTTCCAAGTGATCAAGAATTTCACGTTGTTAAGGATGCAGTTCTAGGTTGTCTGCTTGACTTTTTGCCAAAAGGTGTAAAAAAGGAAAAGATCACCCTTAAGACCATGAAAGAGGCTTATGTGCAGAAGATGGTCAAAGTTTGCAATAAGGATGATCTTTGGAGTCTCATCTCTCTTTCAAATAACACTGGAAAGAATGTAGAACTAAAATTTGTTAATTCACTCAGACGGCAATTTGAATTTAGTGTAGATTCCTTTCAAATTATTTTGGATCCCATGCTAGACTTCTACAGTGACAAAAATACTAAACTAACCAAAGAATTATATCCTATTGTGGTAGTTGAAAGCATGTATGGAAACTTCCAAGAAGCAATGACACATTTGCAATACAAGCTTATATCTACCAGAAACCCTGAAGAGATTAGAGGTGGTGGCCTTCTGAAGTACAGCAACTTACTGGTTCGTGACTTCAAACCAGCTTGTGAAGCAGAAATCAAGACCCTAGAACGTTACATGTGCTCTAGATTCTTCATTGATTTTCCTAACATAGCAGAACAGCAAAAGAAAATTGAATCATACCTTCGCAACCATTTCATTGGTGAAGAAAAGAACAAGTATGAGTATCTTATGACCTTGCGTGGGGTTGTGAATGCAAGCACTGTTTGTCTGATGGGTCATGAAAGAAGACAGACTCTCAACATGATCACCCTTATGGCTTTAAAAGTACTTGGAGAACAGAATATTATACCCAGTACAGACAATGTAACTTGCTTTTATCAGCCTGCTCCATACTTTGCTGCTGAGGGAGGGTACCCTAATTATTATGTAACATCTGGGCCACCACCCATTTTCTTCCACCCATACCACCCACTACATTTTTATGTGTCAAATGGTATGGTTTAAAAATACACATGCAACAGAAAGTTTGCTTTAATTAAACACCTCTTAAAAACAAATTTTCAAATTCTATAAAATTCAAGATTTATTTTTTTATTTTTGTACAATTACCAAATATTTTTCACCAATTACAGATTAAACCATTATAGTAAATACAGTATCTGTAAACTACTTTAAATGTTTTTCAAATGCTATTGAGTAGTTATAATAACTTTCAAATGTTGTAGATTTTCAAGTCTTACTGATTACTTATGACTTCCAAATGTACTGTGACAAATACATTAGAGATGCCTGCATCCTTGACTAAAATATAAAAGAACAGATTCATGTTTTAAGATCCAGAGATTCAGTGAAGACAAGTACAAAAATGTTTATATTAAATCACTTCATTTTTTTTAGTGAATAATACCATCAATGAGTTTTCAGTGTCTAAGAAATGCCTAATTTCAAAAACAACAGATTCAGAAGACATTAAAACCCCAAACTTTGCAAGCATTTATTTTGTTTCCCAACTAAATTGGGTTTGCTAATAAAAATTTTGCTATAGTTTGAAGGGATACTGGGAAAACATGGTTCTGGAAGACACTGAACATTCATAATTTTTCATCTATGTAAAAATAATTTAGTTAATTTGTGGATATGAAAAATAATACCATCCAGTATGCAGCCAATATTATGACCAATTACACTGACTTGTTTCTTTTTCCCCCCAAATAAGTTGAAAACATTGAAAATGATGAACCTTGAATGTAAAGCTTTATATCATCATCTATTACAAAAAGACTAAATGGAAACAAGAAAAAATAGGCAGAGATTTTTCAGCCATGGTATTCACCATTTTTTATTGCCTATTTGACCAACATCTTAATATGTCTAGAAATATTCAGTTCTAGTGAGTGAAAACATTTTCATTATCATTAAATGAAGCTTTCCCCCCATTTTTTCTTTACCAAAGATCAGTTTCTAACGTCACTTAAGTGCCTACTTGTGATATTTTTGCATAATGCTATAATATATTCAACAATTACATACATTTACCATATATCTAAAAATATACTCACTGTACATCAAGTGTACTGCTAGCAAATCTGCCAGTGAGATTAAAAATGTTAAAAGTGTATTTTCTTTCCATAAAGAAAAATAATCCATAACCAATATTATCTGGAATGACAGAAGGGGAGCTATCCTTAATTAATATAAATAATGTCTTCAGAAAACTTCAGTATTTCTACTTGCTTCTGATTTTTTGTGAGTTTTTAATCTCAGTTTTTTATTAACCATCACATGTTTTACATATTTTTTTTCATCACAACATGACCCAGCAATTGTGTTCTGAGAATTTTTCACTTACAGACTGTGTTTAACCTGTCTTCTGTGTATTACAATATTGCACACAAGAAGTACACCAAAAATGGCAATTTCAAATAACCACCATTTCTGAGATGTTTTGTACTGCACCACTGGCCATCAGTGTATTTTTAAATAATTACGTGTGTGTATGTGTGTATAAATATTATATTAAAAAGAAAATTCAATCAGCAATCTACATACATATTTTATTGACTAAAGATGATTGATTTTTCTATCTGCCTTAAGAATTCTCACTTTTCAGTTAGTGGGAGTGCTTGACCATAAAACTAAAGGTATTTAGCAGTACCAAAATACAATTCCAAATGATATAGGAAAAGTATTTAAGAATGAAAGGACTATGAGAGTGATACTATGGACCTAGGTTCAATATTTTCTAGAATAGCATTTGATACTGAGTAGCAGAATTCTAAAGCTAACTGGGGGCGTCTCATCCCTTATGTGCTCCCATAACTTTCTTTAGTCCTATTGGAAATCCAAACTCTTTCTTCCCTGGAAAATGAATTCTCCATAGTATTCTCCTAAAGCTTAAAGTCCTGATGGATAAATGGTCTGAAAGCTACATGCTTTCTTCTATCATTTTAAGCATGTCTTTCCCCTGTTGCAAAAATCTCTCAGAATTTGTGTCTAAAATTCTCTCAAGAGAGAAAATCCAAGCTTGTTGAATAGGGATATCATTGAAGAGAAAGCTGTAACTTTATATTGCATGACTTTCTTTCTGTACATACCATCACCAAGCTAGGCCTTTGATACCAACCAACCAGAAAAATATCTATCTTCAATTGTATGGATTTCTCCAGGATTAGACGAATTGCCTTGAGAAGCAGTATTAGCTCATTCTGTTCATTAGGTATTAATGGGAAAGTTTCTCTGCAAATAAACTAATACTAGCCTCTTTGCCTAAAGGAGTTGATGGGAGTTATTTTTTAAAAACCTTACTGTAAAGCACATACCACCCTTTACCAGAAACGGTGTTGTATTTTCATATTTTAATCTATTTATTTTGTACAAATCTAAGACCGAGTTTTAGTTTAGGAAGGTTTTTTCTTCTTTTTTGTTCTTTTTTCACCCAGATACCTATCCAAAACAAACGAATAAAAAAGAAATCTTTTTTTTTTTTTTTGAGTTGGAGTCTCACTGTGTCGCCCAGACTGGAGTGCAGTGGCCGCTCCTGGCCACCGCAGCCTCGCCTTCTGGGCTACGGCGATCCTTCCACCTTAGCCTTCCAAGTAGCCGGAATTACAGGCATGCACTACCACACCCGGCTGATTTTTTGATTTACTGTAGAGATGAGGTCTCGCTGCCCAGGTGGGTCTCGAACCCGCGGGCTCAGGCAATCCACTCACCTCAGCCTCCCAAAGGCGCGGGATTACAGGCTGAGCCACTGAGCCCGGCGAAACCATTTTTATATAGTTCTAACTTGTGTCAGTGAGACAAATTTGGTGTTAGCTACAGGTACATATTCTTTAAAACTGAATATTTTGCATTTTATAGACATCCACACATTATTATGAAAGTTTTGCAATTAAGATATTTTTAACTTTTTAATATAGGGGTATTTTAATAGTGACTGTTGTCCAATTTAGTCAGAGAAAACTGGAAAAGAAGGATTAACTAGTTGTTAAAATAGAGAGGTAGCTCATTTAAATTTAAGAAAAAATATCAGAGCTAAAACAACTGTGTACTTTCACCCCGAAAGCACGCTGTACCCAAACCCATTTTCTTATATCAGCAGGTTCTATTAAAATGCATTCAAATTAAAAGTTTATAAAACTTGTCTTTAGGACTGGGCATAGTGGTTCAAGCATGTAATCCCAGCACTTTGAGAGGCCAAGGTGGTAGGATCACTTGAGGCTGAGAGTTGGAGACCAGCTTGGGTAACATAGCAAGATCCTGTCGCTACAAAAGAAAATTTAAAAAGTAGCCGGGCATAGTGGCACATGCTCGTAGTCCCAGCTACTTGGAAGACTGAGGCAGTAGAATCACTTTAGCCCAGGAAGTTGATCCTGCAGTGACCCAGGAACTGCACTGATCTCCAGCCTGGGTAACAGAGAAAGACCCTGTCTCAAAAATACAATTAAAATTTATCTTTAAGGCCACATTTTAGCTTTAGGCATTGATAAATATAATAGAAAAATGCTTCGTGTATGATTTAAAATCCTTTAATTCTGTTGTTCTATTACCTGAAATTAGTTATTCAACTTTAAAAATTGTGGGAAGTTAAAATATATAATTGAGACAATTGTTGAAATTTTAAAGTTTGTAATATTCAAAATTGATCTAAAAATAGAAGAGTTTCATTAATAGATAATTTTTTAAAAATATAATTGACTTTGTAAAATTTGACATTAAAACAGAATTGGGAGATATGTGGGACTATAATAAACATTCTTGTGAAGTCCATTTTGGCAAGGTTTATAACTGAACATTTTAACCTACTCAGGATATATTTGCTTTACCATTCTAAAAGAAAATACATTTAGTGTTTTGTTTTGAATTGTGCTATTATTGTTTGTGGTTATATTCTATATTTTATAATGTTATAATTTATGTAATGAGTACTGGAAGTTGTCTTGCTGATCTACCTTTAATGAACATTTTTCAGCATGTATAACTGGAAGTAGCTAATTTGTTGAGACATCAGTGTTTTGCTCGAGTGCTTTCTTAAGGAAACAGCTTTTGTTGAATTTTATAGGCCATTATTCTGGAGATAAACATGCATTTTTCAGCTCTTGAAGAACCCTGGAATTCTAGACTACTAACTGGCTTTCAGTATCCTTCAGAGATCACATTGGTGTGAATTATAAAATCACTTCTTTTTAGTAAGGAGTAGTCAAAGTTATTTTAAGTATTGTTATGTGCTTTTGTATAGTTCTTGGGAATTTTTAAAAGATAGGAAGTTGCATTTTAGTTTAGATTTGAATATATACAAATTTTAAGTAAAAACATTTAGACTAAAATGATGTCAAATCATACAAACTTATACATTTAAAAATTTCTATAGACAATGTTACATTAAAATATAAAACTAATAGTAGATAATTCACCTTCATAGATTATAATGCAATATCATATTTATTGAATAATTATAATTTAGCACTATTTATGCAAAAACCTTAAATATTTTTTTAATACAGATTGAAAATAACCTTGATGGATTATCTGAATTTTCCAGATCTCAATTCATTATAATTGGATGATATTGTCTTATGGCTGTGTTTTCAGTTTGCCTTTAAGGTTTTTTTTTTTTTTTAACACAATTTAGTTTTCTACTTTACAGATGACAGATGCTAAACCATAAGGTGACATGGAAACTCTGACTTGATATTTAATTAAAGACATTCTGCTATTTTAAAACAAATCTCATGTATTTCTGAAAACTACATCTACTTTATATCCATATACTTCAACTAAATTTAATTGAAAAGAAGTGTTATCTTTGGCAGCTTGTGGCCAATTGTTTAATCTCACATACTCCTTGTTAGTTTGAGTGAAATCGGTATTAGTAACCTTTCCTTCAAGTTTGAAAAATATGGGCAACTACAAAATTCTTTAATGTTTTTCTAGGCATTAAGTTAATGCTCCAACCTGCAAAACAAAGGATAAAAAGGCTATTATCTGGGTAATTCAGGCCAGAA